CCCCAAAACCCCAAAACCCCAAAACCCCAAAACCCCGTTATAAATTTTAAGTATTGAAAAATAAATGAATTTGAGGTATTGAAGTGTTGAACGAGGGCTTTATCATTACTCGCCTGGGAGGTCTCCAAAAAACGCTCATTCTTCTCCCCTCGAAGCTTCACCAAGCAAGAATCTTTCCAAGGCTGGAGAGCATTTGTTTAATGAGCCTTCAGAAGTAGAGCATGAGTATGGCACTTCTGAAGATGAAGAGTTTATCGACATCGAGTATAGTGAGCGATACAGATCATCAGAGTCCATGGTCGTATCTGCTTCCGGAGGTAACCGCATCAATACTATCAAAGAAATGAAAACACACAGAAATGCTCAGCCTGAAAAGGTCACTTTTGAACAACCCAAGTTAGCATTCCAGAATAATGATTCAAGCGTGATACTTACTCCTCGAGAAACTATTCCTCCACTTTCTAAGAAGAAGAAAAAGAGTGGGAAAAATACCCAAAATGAGTACAGAAGGAAGCCTAGAGTTGAGCATGAAAAAGAGCAGATCCTTAATGTTCAGACAAAGCACGAGAATGAAACCAGTCCTTTTAAGAAGAGTCATAATGTTAAAAATAGTCAAGACCAAATCGTGTTAACTCAGAGTGACCAGGTGCCAAAGCAAAAATTTCATAAAGGAGAATACTCAAATCTTGATAGAGATCGGGCTGAGCAAAGCTGGGGAAAGCCTCCTCAGTTTAAACAAAAGGAGATGGGAGATTTACAGTCTCAAGGTAAGAAAATAAAAGATTAGAAGTAGATGAAGAATATTTGGGAGAGGATAATATGCAGGAAAAGAATAATAAATTGATCAAGTCGAAAAAAATAGGAGAGAACTTTGGAAATATGACCAATCCTGGCATGAATGAAAAAGATAGTTTGAATGATCAAGCAAATCAGCAAACATCCCACTTCAACACAAACCCAACTCCCAAGCCTGCCTCCATGCAAGATATCCACAACGACCATGTCCTCATCTCTCAGCTCACCGAGGCCCAACAGAGAATACAAGAACAAGACTCTCTGATAGTGACTCTGCGATCAGACATCAAGCAGCTCCAAGACCTGCTTGCTCAGAAAGACAACCAGTTCAAGTCGCTGCATACTCAGAAAGTGGCAGAGGCGACTGAAATGAACAAGTTCTACCAGGACAGACTCAAGGCCGAACGTATGGCTGGTGCAAGTGAGACTCCTCGCATTCAGACTGAAAACCAGATGATTCGCGAGCAGGTCCGGATGTTGCTGGACGATGCCAAAGAACATACCCACGACATCGGGCGGCTCAAGAAACTCATCGGGATGTACGAGTTGCAGAAAGAAGAGTTCGAGCATAAATTCACTCTGGTGCGCAACAAAGAAATCAAGCTGGAGGCAGAACTCGACCAAGCAGCTGAGAAGTACAAAGCAGAGGAGGCGAAGAATAGACAGTTGAAGATGGATTATGATGAGTTGAAGTTCCAGATGCAGAGAAGCAGGATATTCAAGGATATAGATACTCCAAATTTTAGATCTCCAAAGGAGTTATATGATGATGTTAATGATTTTCATCCAAGAAGAGAATATACCCCGGTTAATTATAATTGTCCTGCTCCTATTGCTCCTAAAGTGGTTCCAAATTATGATAATAGTTGACACAATGAAACCAGAGCTGATGACCAAATCGATTCTCAAAATTTGTTTGATGATGTGTTATTTAGAAAGAACATGAAATCATCAGTAGGAGATTTATTAAGATGGGATTCTACCAAAGGTGTATATTCAAATTTACCTAGCAAGCCTCAGGCACATCCACAGAATCCTCGGAATATGAATGGATCTCCAACAAGGCCCCATCCAGTTAACTACAGTCCGAGGAACTACTAAGTTTATTCTAATTTTCAATAATTCCTTCTCAAAATGGGGTTTTGGGGTTTTGGGGTTTTGGGG